TTGTACCATAGGATATTGAACTTAGCACGGGATCATCACTAACATCTGGTAGCGATGAAATAGTGATACAGCTGTGTTATAGTATTGGCATGGGACACAATGCATCCGGGTCCAGATGACCCCTAATTGTCTTAATGCCTTTCCACTTTCAATTTCAATGGCTCCATTTGCTGTCCAGAGATGGGAAGGGCAGTTTTGTTCTGTGACTGGGGAGGTGGCCCCTCTGTGAGCTGTGTGTGGAATGAGGGTTTCGCCAACTGTGGATTGGCAGAAGTGGGGTTTGTGAGCCTGGTGTGAGGAATGTGTTTGAAGAATATCCAGAGGTGTGACATGTTTATCGGCAGAATAGCTGTGGCCTCTGGCTGGGAGTAGCAATCCCAGTGGCTCCTGAGGATATCATATCTGTGGTGATGGAGAGGAGGAAGTTTGGGGAAGAAACGAAGAGTCTAGGGCTGAGTGGGGAGAAGTAGGAGAAACAGATATGACAGGGAAGAGAGGGCAAAGGAAGAGCCTCTGAGGGAAAGAACAAAGATAGGAAGACAGGGAGAGGATGCAGGGCAAGGCTGTCCGCAGGCAGGCAGGCAGGCAGGCAAGGCAGGTGCCTCCGGGAGATCTGGGAAGGACGACGGAGGTCAGGGTATGCTCAGAGGAGCCTAGAGCTTTCGGAAGTTTTCTGAACTGGCATTTCTTGCCACCAGTGATCACAGTGGAATGTGGATTGGTCGCTGGGCTGTCCTTGGGGACAGGGTGTATGGGTTAGGGAGCAGTTCCTCCACAGGAGCCTGGGGAGTTGGCATGGAGCCCGGAACAAAGGCTGGCACTTCCCAACTTTCCACGGTGCTGCGATGGGGTGCAAAGAGGTTTTCTTTGTTCTTGGGACCAGCCTGTGCCTGGTAGGAGAGAGACAAGGGGTAGGTGATACCACTCCTCCAGGAAGTGGAGCCAGGGCCTCTAGAGACCCTGAGTCCCACTCTGTCATTCAGGGGCACTGAACTGTTGATCTTTGGACAGAGGGAAATTAACTATCTTGGGGTAACTCTCTTAACTTTCAGGGTCACCTCTCCTACTGTAATCCTTCCACTGAGTCATGGATAGATGGACACCCATGCTCACTGCCTACTGCACAGAGACATCTTTCCACTTGTCCCAGGCAGCTCAGCAGGCCAGTGGCAGACAGGGGCCTAGTTCAAATACCTGTTTCTCACTCCCTGGCTGGCATCGCCAGTCAGGATTTTTTTTTCTCGTTCACTCTGTCTGCAGAAGTGAGAAAGGAATGTCAGGTGTTGACTGGAAGCCACTAGATCTTCAAGAAGTCACAGGGTCACACTGAGCCAGAAACAAAGGGGGAAATAAAACCCAACCACCTTCACAGTTTCCTGGAGAAGTGCAGCCTGTCTCTCCAGACCGCTTGTGCCTCATCACAGCTGTGACAAAATGCTATTTTCCTTTCTGCGGTGTGCACAGGTGCCAATCCAAATGAATATTACTCACACACCTCTGTCCAAACACTGTGCGGTCTTCAGAGGTTGATTAAACCTCACAGAGCTGCTTATTCTTCCTGCACTTGATGCTAGGTAAAGCCCTCACTGCTGTAACCTCACTCTCAGGCCCCTGTCCTTCTATGCACCCCACCTTTCCCACCCGAAGACCAAGGGTTTGAAGGAGAGGGGGGTGTGGTGGTTCCTGGGGAGGAGAGAGTGGCAGGGAGCCAAGCTTGGACTTAGCTTTGCTAAGGATTCCAAAAGCAGAGTGCAGAGGGCACCTTGTGTACAATGGGGGCTGGCAAATGGGGCATTGAAGTGTGTGGAAAGCAAGGGATTTGACTTTGATTATCCAGCAAAAGTCCATTTCCTGTACATTATAACTGGCTGGTGTATATTGGAAATCACAGCCTCCCTGGTCCCCTCTCCCCCGTCATTAGTCTCCACTGGAGTGGTGTTTCACTGGAAAGCACACCCACTGAAACGAGGCATGGTGTGCAACTCCAGGGACCCAGTTCCTGTGTATCCTGCCAGTGGTGGCTCAGGTTCCATCACTGGTCTGGGATCTTAAAAAGTCCAAGAGATATTTCACGCAATGTTCGACAGTCATGTTGATGCTGGAGATGGAAGCCCGCAGGGTTCTCAGGCGTCCCCTTTTCCTTTGGCAACAGTACCTTAACCTCTCTGAAGAGTCACACCTTCCCTATCCCACCCAGAGGCTTCTGGTTTTTTTTTTTTATTTCCACATCCCAGATACCACCTTCTGGGATGAGCTTGTGACAAATCCTTAGCCAATCAAAAGGCACCATTGGGTAAAGACAGTCGCAATTCTTCTATCAGAAAAAGAATGATAGTATTCAGAGAGCCTGAGAGAGGACTGAGGGACTGGGAGTACTTGCTGCTCTTGCAGGGGACCAGAGTTCAGTTCCCAGCACCCACATCAGGTAACACATGCAGCTCCAGGGAATCCGGTGCCTTCTTGTGGAGTCCACTCATGTACTGCACTCATGTGTACACACACACACACACACACACACACAGAGAGAGAGAGAGAGAGAGAGAGAGAGA